CCCCAAACCCCTTCTACTCCCTCCACCGGCGCGGCGCAGTGCCCCTTACCTTGCCTCTTCAGTCCGGCCCAAGCCGCCGCCGACATCGCGTGGACTACCCGCAGCAGTGGCCGCGCCCGCCGCGAAGACGCGAGTGACGTGAACGCGAGTGACACACCGGAGCGACTGTGAAGTGACAGCGGGAGTGCGTTAGAGTGCCGCAGAGTGCGAGTGAACGTGTGAGAGAAAGAGGCTCTTATGTTGTGCGTCAAAAGTTGATATTACTCGAGCGGGCAAAGGAATTTTTTTTAAAAAAGCATTGCGATCAGTTTTGTCGCACAACAAATCAGTGGAGCAGCACAGGACCCGGCACTAAGGAGCCGTGTGAGGATCAAAAGCAAAATAAGGTGAGTGCGTCGGTGTGTGTGCGTGTATGTAGTGTGTGTGTGTGTGCGAGCGAGGGAGGGATCTGGAGCGGCCAGTCAGCGGACGAGAAGGAGAACGGAGAGGATGGACGAGATAACCTGCCCCCCAAAATCTCCCATCGTATCGGAGAACGACTTTATCTGCTCCAGGCCCTGAAGTGGAGCGATGGCAAGCCGAGCAGCGTCGTAAACCCACCTGAGCCACCACGCGAGAAAGTTTAGGCTGGTACCCATTTTTTTTTCTGCAGATAAATGAGATGGACAATTTCTTTGATTAATTCATCCGAAAGCTCATAATCGCTGTGTAAGTAAATTTTATAAGAAAGGAATGTGGACGTGGAGAGATTCGCATGTCTAAATATAACGAAACAAATTTAAGCACTCTAAGGAGCAACAACAAATTCAGAAAATGAAAGAAGTTATAAGCTTGATAAGCTTTATATACACTATAAAAGGGCCGGGAAATTAAGAAAATTAAAGACAGTTGTTGAAAGCTTTATATGAGCAAAGACGTTTAAATATGGATATATTTTTCTTATTAAAACAATAAGAAGGCCACGCTTGTAGTGGTTGTAGCGGGACCCGCGCCTCGCGAGCGCGTGCACTTATTCAGCGTGCTTTAGCGTGCGTTCTGGGCGCTGGCCACGCTTGGCACGCGAGAGAGAGAGGAGCGAGAGAGAGGAAAGAGAGAGGCCGCCTTGCCCTAGGTGCCCGGCCGGCCGGGTAGGGGGGCCTGGGTACCCGTTACAGGTGCCGGCTGTCCCGCTACCTGCAGACGTACCTCCCCGCGCCCAGCCACGCCCGCCCCGCCCCGCCTTCCCCGCCCCGCCCGCACTGCCACGCACCCAAAACGCTGGCAGGGACCGTCTTGGCGCCGTGACGACTAGGTTAGCGGCGACGAGTCACGTCGTCCTGCATGAACCTCAAAACTCTTCCAAAAACCAAGATGAAACTGACATTGCTGTACATTTTTTTGAAAACTTCAATATTTCAGAGAGCAAATATTGTTTTCCGTACACACGTATTGTTTTTTTTTTAATTAAAATCATTTTTGTATTTTCGATTGACAAAATATGTTGTAAGTTTAGGACTGCCAATTCTTGCTCGCCAATGAATTCCAAGTAGATACAGAGTACTTGCAATTTTTACAATTTCAAATTGGTATTTTACAGCACAAATCATGGATAATATTCCTCTACCCATAACAAGATTTTCTCAGTGTACTGCAGAACAAAAAAGTTCGTCAATAACGGTCAGTAAGAATAGCAAAACGAATTAGTTCTCGAATATATTTTTACTTTCTTTATAGAACTCGAAGTTCTATAGCTCCAGTTCTACCAACGAACAATTTAGAACTATGCAGTTCGTTTTAGTTCGCCATGTATCTGCGAACCACAGCGTTCACCGCTCCTCACTTTTACTGTAGAACCCCGTTATTCACTTAAATTATTTGAGGAGGAGAAGAAAGAAAAATCGTCTCTTGATCCAAGAAAATTACGACCCAAAGATCAATTTTGCAAGACGGATTCTTTACCGAAAGCAAATGTATTTATATAAACAGCGGTACCAGAGCAAACTTGATCTTGGACTTGGGCGACGAGCGACGAGCGACTCGCACTTGAATCGAGAAACGATTCCTCGAGTGCATGATGATTGCAGGAGGGCGTCGCTGAGGCGTCTTTCGGTCGGCGAAGGGGAAGGGGCGTCGCCAAGTTCAAGGCCGTGGGACTGGCCAGCCCGGCTGGGCTGGTTCCGCCCCAAAGCGAGCCGAGCTGGCCCAGCCGATGAATGACCGAATGACCCATCCCGCTGGCCCAGCCGGCCAGTCCGGTCGCGCACAGGGCGTAGCGGGGAGTGGCGGGGCGTGCTGGAGCGAGGCGGGGCGAGGCGGGGGGAGGGCTGGGTCGGGGGGTATGGTGCGGCCGCACGCCGGCCGGGCCACGGCTTCGCGACGCCCAGCTAAAAGCAAAGCGTCGTCGCCCCGCCGCAAAAGCGCGGCGCAGAGACTTCATTCAGACCGAGTACTTAGTACTTTCACCACATCGTGCCCCTCGCCTCGCGGCGCCGAAACCATGATGGGACCAGCCCGGGCCGCTATTTGCTTCATGTTAGTCCGCCGCCCGGGCCACTCAGCCGGCGCAATCCCACGAGAAAACATCTCTCCGCGCGGCCGAGAGTCACAAACAGTTTTCCACAGTTTTACATTTTAAACAGTAAAAATAAATACTTTCCGCAGACAATAATACGTCGAAGAGAAGTAAATACACCGGGTGTCCCCGAGTGAATAACACTGCCTCTCATGCATGCAGATCACTGCACTGATCGCTTTAATAATTTGTTGCGTAAAGGTAAAATTGTTGAGAGAAAGAGGGAAAACATTGAGGAATTCCCATTTTTCAGGAAATTATAGAAATTCATACATTTTTTGAGGAGACTTACTCATCGGAGGAATTTTCCTCATATTATGGGTTTCTAATGATTTCCCCTTTCCCTCAAAAGATCAAGCAAATTTCACCGAACGTAAGAACACAAGTCCCAGCTATTTCAACCAGTGTGGCATCAATGCAGCTGCCAATAGTTATTCATAGTTTTACAGAGAGTTTTACGGCGAAAGGAACAAATGTTGTGCGTGCATAACTGTCTGGCACGTGGGCGTTTGTAGCGGGATCGTGCGGGATGACCGTCCGTCCCGCACGTATGGACCAGCCATTCGGGGTCGGTGAACCACACCTGCAGTGACCCCTCCCATCGACGTGCCGGCCCGGGCCACACCTCGTCCGCCCACACATCACAGATCGCAGAAATATGATTGTGATAAAAATGTTATGATGGCAAAAATAACGCACGAACATAAATTACGACCCAATATTGGAACAGAATACAAACTACTTTAATAAAAAGAAAACTGCAAGTAAAAGTTGCCTGTGTAAGAAGGCAATACGGCGTGATCCGAACAAAACAACTCTACCAATTACGAAAATCCTGCTCACCCTCTTTTCGCGTTGGGCAATGGAACGCTGTAATTGGTATTTGGTAGTTTTACCATAGCCGCCGAGATACAAATCCCTCCGAAAGAAATACACCTTAAACGTCATAGCAAATTGCCACAGGTCGCCCACAGGGCCCGTCGCTCGCGCTGGGTGGCTGATCGCCCGCATAATCGTGCATGCGCCGAGTCGAGAGAGACAGAGAGAGAGAGAATGAAAGAGAGAGAAAGAGAGAGAGAGAGGGGGTGGAGGGGGCGAGAGGGGAAGGGGGGAAGGGGTATTGCTCTCACTCACTCGGCTCTGCCTCTCTCCGTCTCGACCCCTGCCGCGGGCCTGCTGCATGCTGTGCCGCTGTGGGCCACCTCGACGAGGCCGCGGCGGGTCTCTGCTCTGCAGCCACCTCGCGCCCAGAGCGAGATTTGCCAGACATTTTCCGCTCGGCTGGCCCTGGTCCTGTGCGGGGTGTGGTGGGGCGGCGGGGCGGGGCGAGGCGCGGCGCCTTCGTGGTCCGCGAGGTCCCAACACCACTCCGCGCCGTACACGGCTGCTGGAGCCACGGCGGGGCGCGGTGGGCCGCCGGCCGGGCGACCCCACCGCAAGTCGGCGGGCGGGCGGCGGCGGCTGGGACACCGGCAGGGCGCGGGGCGGGGGCGCAACGTGCAGACAAAACTATTTCCTGCTCGCCAAAACGGAGGGTTACGGCGGGAGTGGACAGCCTGCCCGCACGGCTGCCCGGCTGCGCAATAACCCACCAACTTCATGCAAAAAACCATTCATTTCTCCGCAAAGCATTAATAAAATCGTCTGCTGGACTCGAAAAAAAAAATATTGTACGTCAGCTTGAAAATTAAATTTTGCAGTCAGGAATCAGGAATCGAAACTTCATGCAATCACGTCGATAAGTATCACAATTGTCTTATGACAGACCGAGCTCGGGCCGGTCGGACGGCTCCTCGGGGCGCGTGCGCTAATCTAATGGGAACACCTCTCAGCACTCGCGGTAAAAGTTGGGTGGCACTCTCATCAAGATCGCCTGCCCCGCCCCGCCCCGCCCCGCCCCGTCCCGCGGCATCACGCGTAACAGAAAGCGACAACTTCTTTATCAATCTCCTGGTAGCGAGGCGCTCGCTCGGTACCTCGCTCGGTACTTCCCTGTTGACCCGCGGCGCGGCTGCGCCCTGCTCGCTCTGCTGCTATTGCTGTCCCCCGCCGAGGGGAGAGGATCAGGGCGGCTTGCGGTCGTCTAAGGCAGAGCGAAACAGGGCGAAGCACAGCTGGTGTTGTGTGATCAAGAGTTGTCGCAACAAATTCAGCCGCAACGGTCCTAAACGTTTCCTTCTCTTTTCATCAACTGAG